CAGCGTTCTTAGCCTATCAGTTTCTAGTTATTGCAAACACTTTATTACAACTAATGTAGTTTTGTTATTAGAATTTTTCATATATTCTTAACCACTTTTGTTTAAAACAACAGGAATTTCGGTGACATTTATACTCAGAATCTAGACCTCTTAAAATACAAGTTGTTAATTGCAAAAAGAAAATTTCCTCCCTTTTTTAAGGCTTAATTATTTGGCTATTTTCTGAGAAGTGTACTAGATACTTTTTTTTCCTTAAGACATATACCAATAAAAATGAACCTACATAGTTCTTATTATAAATACCTTTATTCATTTACTTAAGGTTTCACATCAGTCTCTATTTCATGAATATTTGTTTATGTGAGCATATGTCTGTATCTACCAGCATAAGGCCTCAGATGTGAAAAGTCAAGGATATAAAATAGAAATGCATAAAAATGAACCTGTGAGGAAAAGTAATAGCCAGGTGAAAACAACTTATGTGCAAGAGAAATCAAAATGCATTCCCTACTTGGATCTAATAAGCAACTATTTCTCATATAATAATATTTGAATTAAGTATCAATTATACTTTTAATTTTACATGTTTTTGTAAACATAAAAATTACAGTTGTGCTTTAATCAGCAACAGAAGATAAAATAGTAAAAGTAATTAAAATCATATTACCTATGTACACAAAAGATAATTTGGTACAGGAATCTAAGCTTTGAATTTATTTTTAAAGCACAATGCTGGATTTTAAATAAAATGAATTTCACTATGTCAGCATAGCCTCTGGAAAAGCATTTTTAAATAAGTGCAAATATTATATGTGGTATTGTTTTAGTAGCATTTTTTTGCCATGAGGCATATTAATAAACATAGGAAAGATATTTCACTCAAGAAAGGCAAGTTGCAGGGGGAAAAACTGCATTGCAGATGTATCACAGTTATTTTGCTGCTCATATTTTCTAAATGCTTTTGCTTAGCAATAGAATTCAGTGTTAGTCATTCCTTTTTATGTGCTATATAGACAAATTTGTAACTGGTGAGAAGTGGCATTGTAATGCACAGGAATATACATGACACAGGAAAATGATTTGTTTATAGACACACATTTTTCTATTCCTTCCGCTATCATAAAGCATTCCCTACATCATGATTAGCAAAAATAGATAAAACAGAATTTCTACTGAGAGATGTCTTTTCCTCCAGATTGTACTTGACACTCAGATATTTGTGCCTTTGCCCAGTATTCTAAAGTATAGGATTAGTGCTTGGTTGTCTAGAAATTCACTGGTTGACTGCCTGTAATTTCCTTTACCTGTTTACCTCTTTGTTTTGAAATTATTGGCAGTGCCCTGTACAGTAAGAATCTGTTCTCTTTTTCATCACTGCAGTGTTACCAAACTTTTATTCTTTATTATACTTCCTTTTACACAAATCTAAAGAGAATCCTAGCTGCATGAATGAAGGGGTTCTAAGATAGCTTCTCTTAATTATTTAATTAATAATAAACACTTATGTGGAATATGGTAATTAATTTTACATATCTTATCTCATTGGTTCTCCAAATAAGTCTATGCTATAGGTAGGAGAGTATCTGTCAGATATAATTAAGAAAATACATACTTGATTCCTCAGCAGCATTTAATATCACCTATCATTTCTTTTATCTTGAAACGTTTGCTGGCCTTGATGTCAATGGCACAGCTCTCCTTCTCTGGGGGGTTCTTGTCCTTCAGTCTAACACGTCATTAAATATATTCAAATTCCTTAAGGCTTGTCCCAAGGTATTTTTGTCTTGCTCCTGTCATTGTCTCTCTATAGTGCATTTCACCAATTCAAAACTTTGTTTGGAGCTCCACATACATGTTTTGAGTTAACTACTTAATATTTCTTTTAGATGTTTCTTAGGTATCTCAAGTTTTACATTTAAAATTGAATGCATTGCCTTCCTTACAAACCTTGTCCTCTTTGTGGTATGCCTTTTACCAATGAGGAATGCCAAAAGCATCCTTTGTGTTAGCAAAAAACCTACAAGTCACCTTTATACTTCCCTCTTTATTACCCTCCCCCACCCATGATCAAGTTTCAACTGTATCTTCCACTCACATTTATTCTTCATTTCCACCATCACCACTTTACACTAAGCTAGGTAATATCTTTACCATGGACAACTGCAATTAAGTCCTCATTGTTTAACCTTCCATGTTCTTGGACAAGTCTGACCCATTCAAACTGATGTTTTGTATGAAGTTTTCCCTCTCAAGGCATTTGATGATTTTTAGCACTGGAGACTCTGCTAAATAGTACTACTGAGCAGAAGACAGATTTCAGAAGTTTTATTAAATAATATATGGAGATAAAATTTGAAAATCAGAGCTACCATAGCAACCAACATTTGAGGGACCCAGATGGCACAATGGTTGTCCCTTTGACATATTTAAAGTATTGTTAAGCTAGATAAATAGAAAGGAAACACAATGGAAAGTCATAGAGAAGTATGGCAAATTTTCTGGTAACATCATAATCTTAAAGAGAAAAAAATTAAATTCTGGATCAGAAAACAACTCAGGATTGCAGTTGGTACCATGCTCATTACACTCAAAGAGTTTAGATAAAGTAGGAATATAACAAGCCTTAGAAAATACATCCCGTTCTCCAGTTTGTTCCCTAATTACATAAAGGTTAGAGGTTACCACTCTGATAGCCTATTGGAGGATACATCAATCTATTCATCATCCAGAGCTTAATAATAAATAATATCCATTTTTAATAAAACTAAAACCCTGTGTATATAAAAAATTTTGAATAAAGTGAACAATGTGACCAGTGATCAAGAGATGAGTTAAACTAACATACTTTGTTTTCCTCAGTAAATGCAGGAAGTAATCAATTGTATTTTAGTTTTCACATGGTATTTTTACTCTCTACCAATTTATGTTTACTTATGTCTATATTGTCAAAATATATCACCATAACAGTATACAATGTCTTTCTTAATTCCACCAATTAGGCTGAGTTCTAAAGGTAAATTTATATTCAGTGTTCAACGCAAGCCATATGCTGATGATTATCTATTCATTTTACTTGTCTGAATCACAATGATTATTTGTCTTTTGAAAGGGGCTCATGAGAACAACATCCTGAGAATCTTGCATGTGTGGCAAGGTATCTGCAGTCATTATACTTGAAAGTCAATTTGCCTGGCTATAAAACCCATGACTACATTGGCTCTCTTTGTGCAGGCTAAAATGTTACTCTATTATCTCCCGGCATAAAATGTGGCTGTGGAAAAATCTGATGCTAATTTTATTTTCTGCACCTTATAAATGAGTATGCCTTTTTTCTTTCTGAGTTTTATTTCAAAGTTTAACAGTACTATTAGACTATATCTTGGTATTATCTGTTGAGATATATTCTTAGTTATGTAGTATGACATTTTAATATATAGGTTTAAGTCATATTTTAGTTCAGACTGTATACATTAATTATAAATTTTAGTATTTGTTCTGTTCCAGTGCTTTGATTTTTCCCCAGTAGAGACCGCAGTTATTTGTATGTTGGACCTTTGTTGCCTATCTTTTATAATGATCACCTTTTCACATTTTAAAATTCTTTCCTCAATATCTTCTTTATTTTCCTCTTTTCTCCTGTACATCTTAAATTCATTTTTTAATGTCATCTGTAATGTTTATTCACTCTTTTGTGTTTTCTAGGTTCATGTTCAATATAAAGATAAATATTTTTGTCACTTCTAACATTTTTCTGCTTAGTATCAGCTCTAAGTTTTTTGAAATATCTAATTTATAAAGTGTTTAATTACAATTTATGTTGTTTTATTTATACACTGATTACATTTTAGAATTACATTATCTTGTTTTTAATAATTAGCTCAAATTTTGAATTTGCTTTCTAGGTATGTGGTTCTACTTGGCTTTTAGTATCTTTAATCTTGGTAATTATTCTTTTGTGTCTTATAATAAATATCTCTTCTCTTCCCTTGACCAATATTCCTGTATTTTTCAATATAAGTTCTACTCTGAATGATTTCTTCTAAGTATTGGTTGTTATTCTCAAAAGGATCCTCGTTTGATTAATTTGAGAGTTCCTGCATTACAGAACCTTCTGGCATCTGTTAATCTTTCTACATTCCTCTTGTCTTTGCCTGTGAATGGGAGGTTGATAAAATCTTCCCTAGTTTTGGCTGTGTTCCCAGATCATTCTGTTGAGATTTCCATTCAAGTTGTGACCCCTCAGTTTGGTAGCCACAGCTTATTAGCAATAATGTTTTAGAGCTCTCGTGCTGATTAAAGGGTAGAATTCCCTTGGCCTTTCCTCATGTTCCTCTCAAATAGTTATTTTTACCACATGTCTTCTTGCTTCCAATGAATGCTTTTCACTCAACTTTTTGTAATTGTTTGTCTGTAGGTATCTCGTTTTGGTAGCCAAATAGCTCAATCTTTGTTAATAAGGTATTCATAGAGATTCAAACACTATATCCCCACTAGTCTGCCTAGCCACCTGATTATCTTATCTCAGTACTGACAGATGAATGGCAAATTCTCAAAAGATGAATATTAGAATGCAAATAGATAAATATTTTAAATAAAGGATTTAACAAATTTGCTGAGGTAAAAGATTGTACATCATGTTCAGAAATCATCTGTTTGTCCAGAAAATGGATTATATGTAATTAATACATTTAAAGTATTAGGATTTTTTTTTTTTTTTTTTTTTTTTTTACACCTATAAAGAATTTTAGTGATGGAGACATGGCTGTCAGTGTGATCTGTTTTTCTGTTTATAAAGCAGCAGGTGCTTAGTTCTGTAGCCTGTGCACACTATTCCAGTGATTTCTATTATCCTCAGAAGGGAGGAGCTTAAATGAATGTCACAAGTTTCATTGATGCAAGTCATCAGTTGAGCAAAGGGAACAGTTGTACAGGGTTGGGCTGATTCTCTGCCTGTCCTCACGCGTCCCTAGGAGGCCTGTTTCTCCCATGGAAAATCTCCCATGGTGGAGATGCACAGAGTGCCCATGTCTCCTCTCACTTCTGTTCCTTGTTGTGGCCACCTCAAGTTCCAGCCAGAGCTGGTATGGATCTCTGGGTGTATAGACCCTTCACTGTGGGGAATTAATTCTTGGCTTCCAGGAGGTTCTAGCCCAGGAATAACTGCAGGCAGGACAGGTCAGAGGCTGAGCCAAAACCAAACTTACCTTTGGGAGCAACAGAGTAGTGAGACTAGAGCATGGCACACCATCCCTGGGGCCCCAGACACCAAAGCAGAGGGGTGCTGCTGAAGCTCGGTGAGAGCGAGGAAGCAGAGGAGCTCAGGCCCAGGGGACTGCCATTGGGTGAAGAGATGTCTGTCCCCACAGCTCACCGCTCTCATCTGTGGCTTCATCATCAAGCTGAGAAACTGCCTGCATGACGACGGCTTCCTGCGACAGCTCTACACCATCGGGCTGCTCGCCCAGTTTGAGAGCCTGCTGAGCACCTATGGTGAGATCCTCAGGGCTCCCGCACCCTGCGCCTCTGGGATCCAGGGGTTCATGGGAGTGTGCACACAGGTGATCCCATGCTTTCTCGCTACATATTTTTCTTATTATACAAGTGACACATGCCAATTTAAATAAATTCAACATCACTGAACTATGTAACAGAGCCAGATCAGAGTCCTGTATAGTTACCCCAACCCCAGCTTGATTTGTGGTTGTTATACATCTGCAAGATCTTCCTAGTTGAGGATGGATGATGATTATTTAAGCACCAACTTCCTGTAGGATGTTCGGGCCGTTTCTGAACTCCTCCTGTGAAAACGGTGTTGATACGTATCTCTGCACATAAGTCTGTGCACTTCACTTGTGGGCCCATTATTAGAAGGAAAGTTTCAGTGTCAAAAAGAGTAGGAATAGCCCTGGCCAGTGTGGCTCAGCTGGTAGGGCATCATCCGGTGCATAAAATGCCTGGGTTGCAGGCTTCACCTCTGGTAGGGGACATGCAGGAGGCAGTTGATTGATGTTTCACTCTCACATTGATCTTTCCCTCTCTCTCTAAAAATCATTAGAAATAATTTTTTTTTTTAAAGAGTAGGAATATTTTAAGATTTCATAGATATTTCCAAAATGCCCTCTGAAAAGGTTCTTTGCTCTCTACCTCCATTTTTTAAAATTTTCTCTGAGAAGGTAAAAATGAATTATTTTTTAAAAGTATTTATTGGTTTCATAGCAGCATTTACTTGGGAGAAGCGAAGCAGCATTTATAGTGAAGAAGCTTGGAAAGGTCCTTGCCCACAATCTCACCCACTCTCATCACAGCCATACCTGATTGTATTGCCTCCCTTTGTGCCCCACCCTATGACCAGGCTGAGTCCATGGGGAGAATAGCAGGGCCTCTCCGTCTCACAGCCCTCCTTCCCTCTTTTGTGTCCAGGTGAGGAGCTGGCCATGCTGGAGGACATGAGCCTTGGAATCATGGACTTGAGGAACGTGACCTTCAAAGTCACTCAGGCCACTTCCAACGCATCAACTGACATGCTGCCTGTCATCACAGGAAATCGGTAGAAGTATTTTTTAAATTCTCAGAACTTGCAGTGTCTTAATTTATGTTTATTATCTTCCATACACTCCTTTTTAAAAAAATCACTTAAGAAACTTTTTCGATTATAATTAACGTACATTGTTTTATTAGTTTCAGGTGTCCACCCCAGTGATTAGACATTACATAACTTATTAAATGATCATTCCAATAAATCTCGCANAGTGATTAGACATTACATAACTTATTAAATGATCATTCCAATAAATCTCGTACCATCTGACACCATACATAGTTATTAGAATATTATTGACTATATTCCTTATGCTGTACTTTACATCCCCGTGACTATACTGTAACTACTAATTTGTATTTTTTAATCCCTTCACCTTTTTCACCCATCTCTCCAACCCCCTNCACCCATCCCTCCAACCCCCTCCCATCTGGCATCTATCAAAATGTTCCCTGCATCTATGAGTCTGTTTCTCTTCTGCTTGTTCATTTATTTTGTTTTTTATATTCAGTTGTTGATAGCTATTATTGTCATTTTATTATTCATATTTTTAAAATTTTGTTTTATCTTAAAGAAGAACCTTTATAATACTGGTTTGGTGGTGATGAACTTTAGTTTTTCCTTGTCTGGGAAGCTCTTTATCTGTTCTTTGATTCTAAATGATAGCTTTGCTGGGTAGAGTAATCTTGGTTGTAGGTTCTTGCTTTTGATCATTTTGAATATTTCTTGTCACTTCCTTCTGTCCTGCAAAGTTTCTGTTGAGAAATCAGCTGGCATTATTATGGGAGCGCCCTTGTAGGTAACTAACTGCTTTCCTCTTGCTGCTTTTAAGATTCTCTCTTTGTCTTTAAACTTAGGCATTTTAATTATGATGTGTCTTGGTGTGGGCCTCTTTGGGTTCACCTTGTTTGGGACTCTCTGTGTTTCTTGGACTTCTATGTCTATTTCCTTTACCAGATTAGGAACATTTTCTGTCATTATTTTTTCAAACAAGTTTTCAATTTCTTGCTCTCTCTCTTCTTCCAGCACCCCCATCTTGCAGATGTTGGTACATTCAGAGTTGTCCCAGAGGCTCCTTACATTATCCTCATTTTTTTGGATTCTGTTTTCTTTTTTGCTGTTCTGATTGGGTGTTTTTTGCTTCCTTATATTCCAAATCACTGGTGTGATTCTCGACTTCATTTACTGCACTGTTAATTCCCTGTAAATTATTCTTCATTTCAGTTAGTGTATCATTCATTTCTGACTGGTTCTTTTTTATGCTGTTGAGGTTCTCACAAAGTTCATTGAGCATCCTTATGACCAGGGTTTTGAACTCTGCCTCTAGTAGATTGCTTGTCTCTGTTTTGTTTAGTTGTTTTTCTGGAGTTCTGTTCTGTTCTTTCATTTGGGCCATGTGTCTTTCTCTCCTCATTTTGGCTGCTTCCTGTGCTTGTTTCTATGTATTAGGTGGAGTTACTAAGTCTACCAGGCTTGGTAGAGTGGCCAAATGTAGTAGGTGTCCAGTAGGGTCTAGTGGGACAGAGCCTCCTGGATCAGTCAAGCTGGGCACTTGAAGTATGCCCCCCTCCCATGTGAGCTGTACACCCTTCTCTTGTAGTTGAGTCTTGATTGCTGTTGGCACATCAGTGGGAGAGATTTACTTCCACCCGATCAGCTTCAAGGACTGGCTGTGACCACTGACTACCCACCTCCACCCACCTTGAAAAATCAGCTGTGCAGGTCTCACCCCATAGAGAAGCACTTACTTCAGCAGGGCTCTGGTGCCTGCTGAGTACCTGTTGAGTGTATTGCTTGGGGAGATGGTTGATTGATGGTGCTTTGATGTGGTTGGAAGCAATCCACTGGGCCTGTTGTTTCTCGGGCCTCCTGGGAGGTACAGGCCAAGGTCAGCTGCTGCCTGTGTTATGCGTGGGGCCACAGAATGATCTGTAGGTATCTGCTACTTGTGCTGGGCTTGGAGGTACCCAGGAGAGGCCAACCTGTAAACCAAGGCCATCTGCTTCTAATGCTTCCCTGTGTTTGTTTCTATGTATTAAGTAGAGCTGCTATGCTTCCTGGAATTGGTAGAGTAGCCTTGTTTAGTAGGTGTCCTGTAGGGCCTGGTGGCACTTCCTCTGCAGTCTTCTGAGCTGGGCACTCCAGGTGTGAGCTGTGTGCACTGTCCTGTTGTAGTTGAACCTTGATTGCTGTTGGCATCACTGGGAGAAATTGACCCCCAGGCCAGTTGGTTGTGAGGATTGGCTGTGACTACAGCAGAGGAGTTGCTGTACAGGGTTCAACCCTATGGAGCAGGGCTTGCTTCAGTGGGTCTTTGGTGCCCGCCCAGTCTATCCTTTGAGTGAGTCTCTCGTGGAGGTGGTAGGGTTGTCATCTGGTGTGGTCTGAAGCTGTCCACCTGGTGCACTGGCTCTGGGCCTCCCAGGAGGTGGGCCCTGCCTGGGGTCACCCAGCATGAGCTACACAGCAATCTGTAAGATGGTTGCTACTTGTGCTGGGCTTGAAGGTGCCTAGGAGAGTCCAAGCTGTGAACCAAAGCAGGCTGCTGCTAGTGCCAGGCCTGGGGCTACTTAGCAAGAGGTACAGGGCAATCTGAGGACAGCTGCTGCTTGTTTGAGAGATTTTAGGAAAGTCGGAAGCATGAGACAAGACAGGCCATTTGCATGGAAAAACCACTGGAAACAGCTTGGATGGGCATGCAAGTTGGGTGGGGTAATATCTCGAAATCTCCAGAGCAGGGCTAACAGCCTTAACCAGGTTGGTGGAGACTTGGAGATGATGCCCACCTGCCAGCTCTGTGGGGGGAGGGCTCAGCAAAGGAACAGTGGCTTCTGCCAGAACTTCTCTCTGGGAGAAAGCTGTTCTTCTTTAAATCCCTAGTTGTAGGACTTCCATTCAGCCAGATTCCAGGTGGTTCTGAATGGTGGTGGTTCTGTAGTTTAGTTGTAATTATGATGTGGTTGTGGGAGGAGGCGAGTACTGCTTTTACGCTGCCATCTTGACTGGAAGTTCCTGCCGTGCACTCTTAATTTTTGTTTTATTGTTTCATTCAATTAAAAGTGCTTATCACAGCCTTAGCCAGTGTGGCTCAGTTGGTTGAGTGTCATCCTGTGCACCAAAAAGTCACTGGTTCGATTCCCCGTCAGGGCACATACTCAGGTTGCAGGTTTGATCCCCAAGAGGGGCATGTGCAAGAGGCAACTGATCGATGTTTCTGTCTTACATCAATGTTTCTCTCTCTCTTGCCCTCGCTCTTCCCTCTCTAAAATCATTAAAAACATATTTTTTTAAAAAGGTGCTTATTGTAGCCCTCTTCATTAAGGTCATCCTCTAAAGGTTCACACCAGCAGTTTGAAAGTCTCCGAGCCAGGTGGCCAGTCCACACTCCACACTGAAGAGAGCTTGGCTTGCCTCTTCTCCTACGTCTCCCCTCGTGTCTCCCTTGTCACAAGCCTAACCCCTCCTCTCCCATTTCCTAGGGATGGGTTTAACGTGCGGATCCCTCTGCCAGGCCCCCTTTTTGACACCCTGCCCCGGGAGATCCAGAGTGGCATGCTGCTTCGGGTGCAGCCCGTCCTCTTCAACGTGGGCATCAACGAGCAGCAGACGCTGGCTGAGAGGTGCGTGCTCAGCCCTCCTGGGGGTGGGGTGGCTGGAGCAGGCTCCAAGTGCTGGATGGACTGTCACCCCTTCCTTNGCATCAACGAGCAGCAGACGCTGGCTGAGAGGTGCGTGCTCAGCCCTCCTGGGGGTGGGGTGGCTGGAGCAGGCTCCAAGTGCTGGATGGACTGTCACCCCTTTGGCCAACAGTCCTTAAGTGTAGCTATATACCTGGCCCTGTCTTTGTTGCTGGGACACAAAGACGAAACCAGATGTGGCCTGTGTCCTCAAGACTTGGGCTGGTAGGAAAGAGATGTGGGTGAAAGATGAAAATAAATGCAGCGAGTAGAGGCCCCAACGCTGTCTGAGAGGACCTATGAGGGCTTTCCCGAAGGGGGTGATCACTGAAGGGGGTTTTGAAGAGTAAGTAGGAGTTGGTCAGATGAGGTAAAGGAGAGACCTGGTGTCCCAGGCCAAGAAGCCTGAGGAAAGGCAGGCAGGGAGAAACTGCCTGGGGGCCAGAGGCCCAGGTCCCAGGCAGGACAGGCGAGGTTAGAGAGGCCTATATGCCAGGTTGAGAGCCACACCTTGGTTCTAAGGGCTTATGCCTTGTAAACTCCCTTAGGGTACCTGCCTAGTGGCAGGGAGGAGCCATGTGTGCAGGTGTGTGTACGCACCTGTATGTGTATGTTGCAGAGGAGGAGGGGATTGAGTATGTGCAACCTGCCATGACCTTTCACAGTACATGAAAGTCTTTTCTGCTCCCAGTGACATTCACGTGATACGTGTGCTTTAGAATAAAAAGGCCTCTTAACTCTGTTAAGGGTATTTGGTCTCCAGGTTGATGGGCTTTTAAACCCGGTGGTCAAGATCCGTTGACCCCTAGGTGTGGGGTCACCCCACTTGGCAAATGTGTGACTGGTGGGAGATATGGAAGAATGTAAGCGGGGCAGGACATGGTCAGGCTTACTTTCTAAGTAGATTGGCTGTGTCCTGAACGATGTTAGGGAAAAAGTGTTCTGAGAAGATTATTGGAAAGAGTGGAGCCGGAGGCTGGCGGGTCCTGTGGACGGAGAGCCATTTCAGCAATGAGAGGGAGGCTGGGTCTCCAGTTGGGCAGGTGTGAGAGACAGACGGCAGGAGAACGACAGCCAAGCTTCTCCAGCAGGGGGGTGGGGCACTGAGCTCAGGAGCCAGGAGCAGGGCCATGCTCAGGGTGTGGAGAGGTAGGCTCAGAGCCCTCTAAGGTGTGGGCAGGTGGAGGAGCCCACTGCAGGGAGAGTAGGAGTGTTGGGCCCAGCAGGACAGTGTCCCAGGGAGGAGAACTATCCCCTGCGTGTGGCAGCTGCTGTTGCTGATGACTCTGTGAGAGCAGGGACACATCACAGAGAACGCAGGGGCTGGTGGAGGAGGATATGATGGTGGGGTGAGTCCAGGATTTTTGCCTTGCTCCTGGGACACTCTCCCCTCAGCTCGTAAAAAAGCCTAGCTACCATGTCCCAAGGTGACCCCCCAAGGCAGCAGGTGCCTAGAGGAAAATCCATCATGGTCCTCAGGGTGGACAGGCCATGGTGGACCCACAGGAGGGAGTCCTGCCCTCTGAGCAAGGACCTGGGGCCACAAAGAGGCTGTTGTGCAGGGAGATCCGTCAGCAGGGAAGGGTGGAGTGGGACTGGCCTCCAGGCTTAGAGTTCGGAGCCTGTGTGTTTTTGTGGCCGCTTTGCACCAGCCTGGTGGCACCTGTCCCTGCGCTTCTGGCACATCTTCGCTGCCTACAAGGTGGGCAGGGTGAACTGCATGGTGAAAAGAGCCAGAGTCTTCACATGGTCTAGGAGGGACAGCTCATCAGTGCAGTCATTTGGCAGAGTGCAGGACTGTGTCCTCACGCCCCAGCCGTCACCCCACTGCTGTCCCCTTTTTTAAGGTCCTGTGGGATGGGAGGACACAGGACTCCCACCCAGTGCTATGAGAGGTGTCTGAGTGTGCTCCAGAGGGGAGGGACTGGTATGGGTGGAGTTCTCATAACCTCTTAGGCACATCTGTAACCAGTTGTATGTGGCTTCTGCTAATGAAATGTGTTTAAACTGGTCACCAACACAGTGGAGATAGCCTTCTGCTTGGGAGTAGGAAAGTGGCTCAGAATTTGCTATGCACAGTAAATGTTTGTGAGTCGGCGTTGTTAGCTTTAATGCATATGGTTGTGCTAGAAGAGAGTGGGATTAGCCACTAACAGCGTCTCCTGTGATCTCCGAAGGTTTGGCGACACGTCTTTACAAGAAGTTATCAACATGGAGAGTTTGGTGCGGTTAAATTCCTACTTCGAGCAGTTTAAGGAAGTTTTGCCTGAGGATTGTAAGTATTTCTTCACTTGTGGTAGGTTCCACTCATTGTCTTGTGTCACTTTGGGTGTGCTTCCTGCCAGCCCGGCTGCTGACCGGCCTTCTGGTGCTGCCTCCTGCCTGGCTCCCTGCCCCCATGCGGTCTTTTCACCTGCACTGGTTCTGCTGTCCTTACCCCACCGAGACCTGCCCTCAGGCTGTAGACCTCAGGTGTCCCGGTTCTGACCTGTCCTCTTTCCACCCACATCACACAGGGCACATACTGTCAGTCACTGGCAAGCATCCTGTCAGAAAGGAGGAGTTCTGTGCTTAACATTTAGGGGTGTGGCCAGTTTCCAGTGATGCAGGGGCCCAGGAGATGTTAACATGGCCTGGTGATGAGGCCAGAGAGGGGTGTGGCTATAGAAGCAACAACCTGGGCATGAGTCTCCCCAGGGTGGGGCCACCAGCTCTCGACCACGACCCAGGAGGCTGGGGGGAGTGGCAGCCTTATAGCCTTTAGCCGCTGCAGAATTGCTGGTCTGTTGAGGCTGAGCAGATAGAACACCCCCCTGCCCCCGGTGTGAACCCCGTCTGCTCTGTTCATCAGTGGGCAGGTGTTCACTAACGGGGCAGCAGGGGAGGCCAGAAAGACACTGCAGTTGATCTGGGGAAGTAAGATGGTGTCCAGCAGGCCAAATTCTCCTGATGGGTCTCTAGCTTCCTCCTCGGGCACCCACAGCCTCCATCACAGACTCAGCCCGTTTTTGTTTTTCTGTTTCTGCCCTGTCCTCTGACCGCACGGTGCTGGGCACACATCAGGAGTGTGGAATAATTAGCATAGGATCCCGTGTCCACCAGGGTGAGGTTTGTGGTGGATACTATATGTGCAGCTCGATCCCAGAATTCCGCGTGTTTGGTTTTAACTTGGGGATTTAGGCACCATGGCTGTTTTCCTTAGCCATGACCTGAGACTCCTCTTTTTCCCTGATGATCCCTGTGTCTGGATATCCCAAGTTTATCAGGCGAGCTGGTGAGCTGATTGGTCTTCAGTTTGAGGGGTCCCAGAGGCACCTGGTGAGACCATGGTGGCAGAGGGAGCTGTTGGAGAGGGCGACCCTGCCTGGGTCACTGCAAGTCCACTGCTGTAGGCTGCCCGTCCCACATCCCCCAGTAATGGCCAAGCCCACTCACTGGTTGACATCACTGCCCAAAGAGTCCTCCACCCCTGGGGGAGGTTGTGAAAACTAGATGGGTCGCCCTGCCTCCCCCCTCCCTCCTGTCCTTGGCGGTTCCGTGTCCGTGCTCCAGACCCTTGGAGGAGCTGTAGGGGCTGAAGCGAGTCATTAAGTTCTCACCCACGAGAGCCAGGTCCAGATCCTAAACACNCTGGTTGACATCACTGCCCAAAGAGTCCTCCACCCCTGGGGGAGGTTGTGAAAACTAGATGGGTCGCCCTGCCTCCCCCCTCCCTCCCTCCTGTCCTTGGCGGTTCCGTGTCCGTGCTCCAGACCCTTGGAGGAGCTGTAGGGGCTGAAGCGAGTCATTAAGTTCTCACCCACGAGAGCCAGGTCCAGATCCTAAACACACTCTGCTTTCTTGCTTAAATCACACTAAACTTCCGGCTTCATCCAGAAACTCTTCATTTGTCCATTTCTGAGCCTCGGCAGCTCACTGGGCTGAGCTCCCGGCACGGCACCAGCTCCCAACTACTCCTCCTCTCTTCTAGGCTTGCCTCGCTCCCGGAGCCAGACCTGCCTGCCAGAGCTGCTGCGGTTCCTGGGCCAGAACGTCCACGCCAGGAAGAGCAAGAACGTGGACATCCTCTGGCAGGCCGCTGAGGTGCGTTAGTGAGGAGCGGGCGTCCGTTCTCCTGCTTCCAGTGGTGGCGATGATGACAGCAGCTGGGCCAGGGGCAGAGACGAGACACTGAGCGTGTCCCAGACTCTGGCAGATCCTGAGAGTTGCCTGTGAGGTCATTACTTTTGGGCTGCCTGAATTCCAATAAGCTTGACCCAGAATCTGTCCCGAGCACTTACTAACCAGGCAGATTGTAGTTGTCACCCTCAGAAGCCTGCACAGTCGATACCGGCTGAACTCACTGCCTCCTACGTCTTCTAACAGGTCCAAAAGGAGACCGTGGTGACCTTTCCCGTCTTTAAACAGTGTTTTTTGTACCCTGCAGCTCAGATCTTCTCTTTCCCTTGAGCACTTAGCACTTCAGATATGTTCTCATGGAGTGTCCTGTGGAGTCCAGGCCCCGCTCTGAGCCTGGTGTCGAAACAGTTTGATAGCCAGTCATTCACTCTCCCTTGACGGCTGGTCTGACTCTTCTCCCTGGCAGCACTGGGGCCTATTGGTCACTGGGACTCACAAACTCAGGCACAAGTGGCCCCAGATGGCACCGCAGCTCCCTGCCTGGTCTGAGCACAGAGGCAGGATGGACACACACCCTCTGCCCTGGGAGGAGAGGTTGGCCCTGCACTGCCCCCTGACAGCCAGGCCACTGCGCTAGGTGGAGAGCCCCGGGAGCAGCTGGGGGGCTGTCCCACACAGCTGCTCAGGCCACGTGGGTGCAGAGACCTCTGTATACCTTGCTTGGAACTGTGGTTCTGTTTTCCTCTTGGTACATGATAGAAAAGCTATCACCTATAGCGGTGCTTGACTATCCCATCACCAGGTCCAAAAAGCAGGCCATCCAGCCCATGTGTTTGTTCCCACCAGAGGCCCCAGGGTACAGAAGCACAGACTCATAGTTGGAAGGGTCTCAGAGACCCTAACACCTGCCAGTTTTCATGTTGTCCACTTGGGATCTGTGGGGGACAGATAGGGGCAGCAGTGCCAACCTCGGGTCCCGTCCCTCCCATTCTCTGACCAGAGCTGCCTCCATTTCTGGGTCTTCTTTATTTTCATTTGTGTGTATGAGCAGGGGGGCCCTGGCTAAACAATTGGAATGTTATTAGGTCCAATACCTCACTTCTCAGATGGTGGGACCAGCCAGAGTCCCCGACCTGGCTGGTGGCCCCTGGAGGCGAGCCTAGCACTGCAGACTGTGCCCTCTTGGGCAGAGGTGCGCATTTGGACCCTGCCTTCCTGCTGGGCATCAGGTTGTGAGTATTGTAGTTTCAGTTGTGCCACGTGCCTGGGTCTTGAACTCTGCTGCTTGTGAATTTAGTGAGCATGTCCACGGTTACCCATCTGAATGAAATTATTCTTCACCTAGCTTAGGGTCTACTTAGGATCTTTTTCTTTCTTTTAAAACAATTTTTATTCTCAAGAGAAGCCTGTCCTCCTGGTGGTCTTGGCTGAACTTGTTTGGGCCTTTTCTGTGTTGTCTTTTCTTGGACACAGTGATCAGACCACACTGCTCTCTACCTGGTGGCCTCCCAGTGGTGGCCGTGGGCTCTGGCTGTGCTGGCATGAGAAGCAGGTATGGTGCCACCCTCAGGGCAGCTCTACAGTGGCTCTGAGATCTTTCTGGAGTCATCGGGTCACTGGAGCCCAGCATTGCCCGGCATGGGTGATTTCTTTTTCAATACCAGGTTGTTTTCACGATGTGGTATCTGGTCCAAGTCCACAGGCCCTTGTGTAGCGAGGATTGAACCTAGTGATGCAGAGGAAGTGACCCAAAACATCCTTACCATGGGATGAGGAGTGCCCCGAGTGTTCCTTTCTGGGGTGCCCCAAGTGTTCCCACATGGGAACCCCTCGTGTGAGGGAGCAGCACACTGTTGCCTAGTCCTGCACGTGGGCCCCGAGTGAGGTGGAGGATGGTGAATGGCCTGCAGGCCTGGTGGTCAGCAGGTGGCTGAAGGAAATGGTCTTCTGAACTGTTCCCATCTGTACGGGAGAGGAGAAGAGAGACCATAAAGGCCTAAGGACCTGACCAGGGTTGGGCATCATCTGAGCTGCTCTGACCTCCTTGAGGTGGTCTTTGCTGCTCCTCCCGCCATCCTCTGAGGGGCCACTACCAAAGGGCTAAATGTGACAAGATAGTGTTGTCAGAGATTTGAAGAGGATAGCAGGAAGGGTCAGTGAACAGAGATGACACCTCCAAAGGGAGGGAGCTGGACTGAGAAGGAGCATCCTGAGGGAGCAGGCCCAGGAGACGCGGCAGGGAAGGGGCAGCCCTGTGGCAGTGACTTGACAGGCATGGAGTTGGGGAGCAGGTGCAGAGGAATGGCTGGGCCTGGGGTGGAGCTGTTGCCATTTCCCTGCTGGGCCCTCTGGAGCCTCTGTCCCATGTGGGGCATCTCATTCTGCAGAGTCACCCCCTAAGCGCAGCCTGTTTTTCTGTTGGCAGATCTGCCGCCGCCTTAACGGGGTCCGGTTCACCAGTTGCAAGAGCGCCAAGGACCGCACGGCCATGTCGGTGACGCTGGAGCAGTGCCTGATCCTGCAGCATGAGCACGGCATGGCCCCGCAGGTCTTCACCCAGGCCCTGGAGTGCATGCGCAGGTGAGTTGCTACCCGCCGCGCGCCCGCCCCGCCCGCTGCCGCCTCCCGGGCTCCCCGGCACAAGGCCCCTTGACTCCAGCGTCACTCTCTGGTTTGACTTTGGAAAATTCACGTGTCTACGAAGTCAAACTATGGGCACTGTCAAATTGAGACAGCGTTCTGTTTTACGTCAAGGGGAAGTAAAGAGCCAGCAGTCTAGAGCAGGACTGCACTGAAACAGGTAGACGGGCAAGCTCAGGGGTCAGGGAGCATCTGTGCGAGCCTTTTGGCACATGGCACCCCCCTGCCACCTGCCTTGCTGCGGGTGAGCTGGGCCAGAGCTGTCTCAGCATGCACCTGCCATTTACATCACATGTAAGTCTCCTTTCAAACCTGAGTGGCAAAAGCGTGTCTGCAGGTGGCACTGGTCTGCTCTGCTTCTTCTCTGACAGTCGACACAATTTGCTTTCATGAGCAGAGTGTCAGATGAGTGTTCTGTGGTGACGGCAGCCACCCGCCCGCCCATCCATGGGCCGTGGCAGCCTAGCCCTAATGGTGGTGTGATTCTGAGGTAGCAGGCGTGTCTGCCGAGTGAAACCTGGGACTAAATCTGTCTGCTGCTGACCGATGCCTTGTTTCCAGCGCTGCCGGGGAGCACCTCACCGCACATACTAAAAGAAAGGATAAGAAATCTGGTTTCCCGTCTCCTTCGCTGTAGTCACCAATGCTGTCAGTCTCGTTTCCAAGTCACTCCTGCCGAATGTCTGTCACCTGTCCTCTCACCAAGCTCTTTAAAGCGTTCAATTCTCTTATCCTTTCTGTAGGTTCTACTGTTTGACCTTCTCACAGTGGTGCACAAACACCATGCCTGAGCCCCTGCCTCTTGATATGTAGTGTTTTGTAAAAATTGTTCTGTCCCTGTTTTGTCTGTCCAAGTTCATTTAAACCTCTCTGTTATCTCAGAACACACCTTCAGAAAGTTCACCATCCTCCCTGCCCTTAGCCTCAGGAAGCAGTGGAGGCTCAGAGACTCTGCCCTTTGATGGAGGGCCTGGCCTTGTGGAGCTCATGTCCTTCAGGCTCATGTCCTGGTGCCTTCAGAGAGTCAGGGCCTGGGCTTCCAGCCACATCTGTGCCCGGTTGCCTTACAGGTGGTGGGAGGGCCACTCTGGTGACATGCAGACCTCAGCCAGCAAAGAAACAAGAGGAGTGGAGGGGGTGTCCCTGTGGTTGTCAGAGCTAGTATTAGGATCAGGTCCATTCAGGAGAGTAAACGAAGCCTGAAATACTACTGGGGCAAAAATGACAAAATTGAAGCTGTTCTACTTCAGACACATCATGAGAAGACAGGGTTCCTTGGAAGAACAGTAATGGTAGGAAAATAGAACGCAGCAGGAAAAGAGGAAGACCCAGTATGGGATAGATTTACTCCATAAAAGAAGCCATAGGCTGAGTCCACAGGAGCTGAGCAGGGCTGCTGAGGACAGGACACTGGATATCACTCATCCATGGGGTCGCCAGGAGTTGGAGCCAACTCAGTGGCACAGAACACACACCGTTCAGTAGACCAGGCCCTGAGCCAGGTGTATAGTTGATATGTAGACCTCTGTCTGGTCTTGGCTTCTGGAACACATTCAGTGAAAACAGGAATTCATTCTGACTGCATCTGCAAAGGTCTCCGGAGACCAGGGAGAAAGTGGCTCTCTAGAGAGACAGACTGCCCCACCTGCCGGCCAGTAGGGGCACAGATTACAGCTTACGACACACAAAACACTTTTTACTTTCTGTCACGTAAGTAATTGATATTCCTTATGGGAAAATTAGAAAATATAGGTTGTACACACACACATCCCACAAAAAAATTTTTGCATTCACCTATTAACAAGTAACATGCTGACATTTGGTACATGCTCTTTCATACCTGCATACATACCACATTAGTTAACCAGCCCCTGAGTAATACAGAAAACAAAACACACACAAATACAATTACATGTGCAGTTCTACCTGTTGTTTAGCCTGCTTTTTTCATTTAACTATCTTGCGAGCATTTTTCAGGTTAGTAAATACAGACCTTATCATTTTTAGCATAGCATAATTTATCCAGTTGGTCAGGTCATGGACTATTTAAGCTGTGTGTGGTTTTGAGCACTTTATTTTCTGTTAATCCTCACCTGAGGATATTTTCCATTGATTTTGAGAGAGAGTGGAAGGGAGGGAGGGGGAGAGAGAGAGAGAAACATCGATGTGAGAGAGACACATGGGTTGATTGCCTCCTGCATGCGCCCAGATCGGGACCTGGGATTGAACCCACAACCCACATACATGCCCTTGACCAGGAACTGAACCGGTGACCCTTCTGTGCAAGGGCCAACACTGTAATGACTGAGCCACACTGGCCAGGGCGGGTTTGAGCACTTTAAATGGTGCTGTGAGTATCCTCCTGTGTTCTGCTAGCCACATTTCCTCCTCTGATTTTTTAGGTTAAAAGGTGTACACCTTTGTAAGGCTTTAAGCCAAGTTGACAGAGTGCTGCCACACTGGTCCCACTCCCTCCCATGAGTGTTACCATTCCTGTCACCGTTCTGAGTGCTTCTGACTGCATTCGGCCTTGCTTCCTTACCTTGCAGGTGAGGACCCCCGGTCCTGAGCAGGGAGGGTCCTCCCATGGGAACAGGCACCATTCCCTTGGCCTCCCCTGCCTCTCTAAAACCCCACCCATCTCCAGTGATGTTTGTCTTCTTACAGTTTCTTATTTATGTTTTTCTGAATTTTCTAACATCTCTATAGTGAACACGCGTTACCATAATAATGATTTAAGAAGTTATTAAAAACAAAAAATTTCACCCCATTTTGCCTCTTCCTGTCCCCAGCATCCTCAGCACCAGCACCCTACTGACTACTGCATTGTCCACCTGACCTTGTGGCACCTCGGGCTTTGGCCACATGCATTTGCCTTAAGGTGACACTGTTAACACCTGACCTCTGTATTTTCCGCATTATCCCGAGTGGGGAAGACGTGTGTGCTCCTAGACTGCAGGCCTGAGGGGACTGGGTCACGAGCCAGTATTTCTGGCTACAGTGGTAGCTGGGCCTTGTGGGCCTACTGAGGCCCCAAGGAGGCCACACCCTTGAATGAAGGAGCACATTTGGGTCCTCTTGCTTCCTTACTTGTATCTGACCAGCTGGGAGAGGACAGCATGCAGCCAGGGTGCGGGGCAGAGGGAAGTGGGTGGTGTAGGGGCAGAGCTGAGGCGCAGGGTGTGCAGTGGCAGTGAACACCAGCTCAAAAAAAAAAAATCCCTGATGTGTAGTGTGTTTGCCAATTTCTGTGGCATAAATAGTCCTCCTGGGGCTTATTTCAAACTGCCAGTGGGACACAGTTGGGAAGAGATGGGTACACGTGGCTTTACCACGCTGTCTGGGCTGATTCCAGGTCCACTGGTGGTCCCCTCTGCGTCCAGTCCTGCAGCTGAAACCCTCAGAGTGGGCCTCCTAAGTAGCCACAGTGATTCCTGGACTTCTCTGGCTGGGAGTGTCCCTGTCGGAGCGGCACGTCCCAGCAGGGCTGGTCCAAGGCTTCCCTCTTTCCTTGGGAAAGCCCAGGAGGACCTCTGGCCTGCCCTTCTCCCAGTGGGTCCTCACAGGCCATCGACTGTGTCTAGCACCTCAACTCTGTGTCAGTCTTGCTACCTTGGTGGCCATGCGTAGAACCTGTGGTTCCAGAGTCCCGTGGTTTTGGCTGCTATCTCACTGTAGGACATTTCTCCTGAGCACCCAAAGGCGGAAAACCCAAAATTTCCAGGAGATCTTGGCTGGATGCCATTCTTGGGGACAGTAACTTGAGAAGCTGGAGCCACCAGTAGCTCCTGCCTGCCACGGGCAGTCTGGCAAGGGCTCCGCCTTTGGTCGACACCTCAGGCAAATAGTTTTGTTTGAACAGTTCATCTCGAGGCAGCTGCCCCAGCCCTGCTCAGGCGCCTGTGAGAAGGTCAAACCCCCAATGGTTCTTCATGTTCAGCTTGCTGTTTGAGGTCCGTGTCTTCGCAGCATGTGAGCGCATGGCAGGCCGCATGGCGTGCGTGGGGCAGCCCAGCGCGAACATGGAAAACCATTCAGTCAAGCCTGCGTGTGTGTTTTTCGTAGACTACAGTACTTTTTCTTATTTTCACTTCTCTCTCTCTCCTTTTTCTTGTAACTGTGCTGGTTTCGTTTTGGTTTTCTTTCCACACCCTCTTCTGTTGTGGCTTCATCCCATTTTTATTTTATTTTATCTTATCTTTTGGTTCTCTTTTTCCCATCATTTTGATAAAATCCATTGCATGTGTCTCCCTTTTTTCNAGACTACAGTACTTTTTCTTATTTTCACTTCTCTCTCTCTCCTTTTTCTTGTAACTGTGCTGGTTTCGTTTTGGTTTTCTTTCCACACCCTCTTCTGTTGTGGCTTCATCCCATTTTTATTTTATTTTATCTTATCTTTTGGTTCTCTTTTTCCCATCATTTTGATAAAATCCATTGCATGTGTCTCCCTCTTTATTTTCTTTTCCTTTTTCTTTTCCTTTCTCCCAAACCTTTTCCTTTTCACAGCATTGGAACACGGGAGGTAGTCACCCAGAAGAACTTGAGCGGCCTGGTGCCCATCCGAGACCTAAGACTAGACCCCAGCCTCCTCTGTTCCATCCCGCTGTTAGCTCTGAGCCCCAATTTACTGATTGTGTGGCTCTTTCTGAGCATAGCATACCTGGTTACCAAATTGCGTTGCAAATGAATATTATGAAAAATTAATAAGTCACAAGAAAGCAAAAGTGCCAGAGTATGTGCCACCACCATGCACCTAACTGGACAGAGAGAATGTCAAAGTGTGGTCTGCTGAGAGATTTCATGCCTTACAGTGTGACATTTTGTTGTTTTGAACTGTAAATACCTGCCGAATTATTTCACCAAGAGGACTTGTTTAAACTGTAGTTTTCAGCGCTGTGACGTGTTCTCACGGCACCCTGTGACTGCATTGCCTAGCTGGCCTGGAATCACTTGTACCAAATCTCTTATTTTCTGATGTAAAGCTATTTATTACCTGTATATCTCACGTACCCTGTTTCCAAGAGAAAGGAATTCTGTCTGAAAAGAATTTGTATATTTGATACTATTCTTTAAATGTGCTGCTAACCTTTCCTTTCCTTTTGAAGAGAAAATGATAGATGCTTTATAACCGGCTCCTCTGTATAAGCCTATTGCATAGGACGTGGACTTTCTGCTTTCATTTCAAAGCGCAGTCCCTTAAATCACAGTAGCAAACAGTTTGCAGAATTATAGCATTTCCTTGCTCATGTTTATTTCCCATTTGAGATGATACAAAGCTGTGGATACAGTAGTATGTTGTACCAAGTGAGGCCCATAAAGTAACATGTTGCATGTGACTTTAGATTTTCTCTTCTACATCTTTAGGGATCATTAACCGATTGCAGGAATTAATGCATAGAGTAATGAAAAGCTGTTAAAGTTATATACATTTATCTTTCTTGAAATAGCATCTTTCATTTTAGCAGTCTTTAAATTTGGACTAAAATCCAGACATCTTTTCTCTCTACAAATGAAATGTAGTTAGTAATGCAAAAAGAAAAGTCAAAGAAAATGACCAAAAATGAGACTTGCCTTTGGGGCAGTTGTGCCAGAGGGAGCTGTGAGAGAGAGTTACTTTGGTTTCTGCTGTTATCACTCTTAATTTTAACAAGGCACTGTCCATAGAATGGGAAGATTTAACATCAGCATTTGGCAAAAGCATAGTTGTATACCTGTGATGGTAGCAGAATAGACTAGGGGTAAATTCCACAGACCCTGCATAAGAAATAGCCAGCAGCTTCGCTCTCTTCCAGTTCAGATTGTGTTGTGATCTGGTTTTGACCACCAGCTGGCTCTCTGTACACTATCTTCTATGATTTTTTCTTTTTTTTTTTTACCAGTCTAGAAAAACGGGTGAATTTAGAGGAGATGACTTTTACAGAAACTTGACACCCACGTGTGGACACAAACCCCATCCTCCACAGAATCTGGCATCTCCCTTCCCTCCCCAAGACTTCCAGAACTTACTCCGGGGTTTCTCTGGTTGGGCATCAGGTCTGAGTCTGGGTTCTAGGAATCGCAGAAGCAGTTAGCAGTCAGTGATGAGTGCCAGATTCAGACTTTCAATTCTACAATGGAAGACAGTCCTCCCACACCCGGCCCCCACCTTTTTCCTAGACGTCCTGGAGCCCTGTGGCAGCAGGAACCACACCANCCGGGGTTTCTCTGGTTGGGCATCAGGTCTGAGTCTGGGTTCTAGGAATCGCAGAAGCAGTTAGCAGTCAGTGATGAGTGCCAGATTCAGACTTTCAATTCTACAATGGAAGACAGTCCTCCCACACCCGGCCCCCACCTTTTTCCTAGACGTCCTGGAGCCCTGTGGCAGCAGGAGCCACACCAGTGGGTTAGTCCAGTCTTCCCTGTGCACTGTGGTTACTTTTTTTTTTTTAATGATGTTATTGATTTCAGAGAGAGGAACGGAGAGGGAGAGAGAGAGAAACATCAATGATGAGAGAGTGGTTGGTCTGCTGCTTCCTGCACACCCCCTGCTGGGGACTGAGCCGGCAACCCAGGCATGTGCCCTGACCGGGGATCGAACAGCGATTGACTGGATCATAAGTCGACGTTCAACCGCTGAGCCACGCCAGCCAGGCTACACTGTCTTTTCTAGAATAAATGAGGTAGCTGTTCTGCGGTGCAGCTCTGACATCCTTCAGTAGGAAGTCTCTCCGAATGCAGTGGTAGTGAGCTGTAGAACGTGACACTGGCTACTAGGGGAGGACCTGTCTAGTCTGTGATTCTTTGGGAAGTATGTTGACACTTGCTCTCTTTCAAATTGCGGTGCACAGGACTCTTTTGTTTACTTTCACGCAGGGATGGGGAATGTCTGGCCCCAGGGCCATATATGGTGGGAGAAATCGTTTGGTCTGGCCCTGCCAAGGCAACCACAGGTTGGGACTCGAAATTCAATAAATCTAGGAGCTTTTTTCCTAGCTAATTTTTAACTTGATAATTTTGTACAGCCCACAAATGATGTTATAAATATCCAAATGGCCCTCGGCAGAAAAAAGGTTCCCCACCTCTGCTTTAGGGGACGGAGGGAAAGTAGAGTCCACAGACAGGCCCAGTTCCCACCCCCAGCTCCCCAAGCACTGCTCTAGGAAAAGAGTTCCCAATACCCCTCACCCTTCAGGGAGACCAGACCCCCTTCTGGCGCTCACCTCCTGCTGACCCTCTGACTGCAGACAGCTCGCCCTCCTCTTCCCTGGGCCTGTGGGTACTTCTGTGCCTCTCTTCAGAGGTTCCCTCAGGACCCACCACACAGCAGGAAGCCATGCCAGCCAGACATGCCCCGGGGCTGGGGGTGGGGGTAGGCGGAGGAGGGCTCATGAACACCACAGCCTGCTCCTGGGCTGCTGGGAGGCAGCCAGGCCTTCCCCCTAGGTTGAGAGACAGAGGGTAGGGTTCTTTGTTTTTAAACACTCTTCAGGGGCTGGGTCAAAAGCCAGCACATTCTAACCACAGTGGTGAGGGCCAGCACGAGGGAGGACACCGTCAGCCTAGGCTGTGGGTTGTTGGTTTGTTGTACAAAAGCTGAGAAAAGACTCGGCGTGCCCACCCTTTGTGCTGAGTTTTAATCTCACTAAGGCCTTTTACTCATTAAATCAGGCTAAATATATATTCAGAACCTTTCCTGCTTCAGTGAGAAGTAGGCAGGATGAAACGGAAAATGATTCAGGAAAGGGGAGTCCCTGAGATTTGGTGCTGGGTTTCAGCTGCTTCTCAGGTGATGCCAGGGCTGATGCCTGGTCACCGATGTCAGGGTCCCTAAGACACTGATGCGCCCAGATGGGTTCTGAAGTGGAAGAGCCCATCAGAAGGGGAAACCAGAGCGATCCCTGCAATGAGCTGTCTGGGTTTCCGTTCTGATGGCTGTTCTCCAAAAGAAATTTATCATATAATGTATAATGCATTCAGCCAGTTAAACCAGTAATTAGCTTCTTTAACCTGTAAATAAAAGATAATGGCAGAATTTCAAAGTTATTCTTTGCTCCTCAGAGCAGTTTGGCATTGATAGGTGCTTCAGAAGTATGTCCATTCCTGTGTAAACGGAGCAGCTCCGTCTGGAGTTGAGATAATGTGAGTTCCCAAAGATCAAATGGGACAACATGTGCATAGAGCCCAGAGCTCCTGCTTTAAGTGGAATGAAATTTTTATCTAATTGTTGGGTGTAGACAAACATGACCATCATTTACTCTGGGCCCCTGCTCACATGGCCTAGGTGTTCAGCTCAGGTGACACATCTCGCTGAGGGCCTGAGGCTCTGGTGATGAGGGAGCATATTTGAGTTGCTAAATTACTTAATAACAAGCAGATGAATACTTTTCTGAAATACCCATGCTTCTCTTTTATAAAGTTACTGTTTTACCCAAAATATTTTACATGTTCTTGAAAATGAGAATGTCATTTTCACTTTAAAAGGCTCAAGTACTTTCCACTGATATGTTTTTTAAAATGCACGATATGATTGGGAATACATTTTTTAAAATCACTGTTTCTTGGTAACTGCAAGTTTTACATCTCATAAGGGGGGTTTTGTACTAAATTTGATAACTAGTTGATTTAATTGCTAGTCTTAGAAAATATAAAAATACAGTTAGACTGTGCTATAGAAAGTCATTTATATTCAGAATCGCTTTCACCTGTTGATTTGATAAACTCTCCAGAGAACTCCCCTGATGCTTTTGTTTGGGAACATGAGGCCAGCCTGCCCTTCGCCCTCCTGCTCTGCCTTTGCTTTGCACACGGGGCTGCCATGACAGCCCCCCAACTGCAGCCGGGATTATGTGGGTAGCAGTTCTCTGTGGAAAGGCACCTGTGGGCTCTCGGTGGCTCAGGGACACTTTTAAGTTTGCAATAATTGTTACTACCCTCTTCTCATTGTTATGTAAAGTGACTGTTGAGAAAGTTGAAATTAGCAGGATCCTAAGGTGACCACAATGAGGGCAGCCCACCTGGAGAAGGTGGCTGGCTGCCACCAGGGGACCTCGGCATGGTCCCTCCTTCACCACACTCCAGCCCTGATGGCCATGCAGACCCACCATGCCGCCATCACCAGGGCCCTCTGGATCGCTTGCTTTGCGCCACCCCCTTAGGAGACAGCCTGTTAGAGCAGCCGTCTCAGCCACGTGGCTTTGCTACAGGAAAATCAGCATTGAACCTGAGGTGATTAACAGCTGCTGCTGACATAGAAAGATGCAGCTTTTTAAAGGCTTCGGTAAGAGTCGCACTACTTCTTTTTTCATTTAATTTGCTCTGTAACAGAATCTTTAAACCACTAGCTAGGATAGTACCCTGAAATGCCTAGACGTGAAACACGTGAAACCATTAACTTGAAAACAGGTTTGCTTCCAACTTAGATACAGTGCTGCTTTCGCCAGTGCCAAACCCGCAGTCCCACACCCGTGCCCATCGCTGTGCTTCTTAACTGCCTTGTTCAGAAACCATCTTACGTGTGTATTGTTGCAAATAGTTTGGCACCCATTTAAATTAACCTTTTTTTTTTTGAATGCTATAAAAATAATCAGTTCATTTCATCTTAGTTTAAGTCTTTTCTTTTTTTCCTTTTTTACTGCTGTCATTTCTTGTGCTTGTTTTTTCCCAGTGAGGGTTGTCGAAGAGAAAATACAATGAAGAATGTTGGAAGTCGCAAATATGCATTTAATTCCCTGCAGCTGAAGGCTTTCCCCAAGCATTACAGGCCTCCCGAAGGGACTTACGGCAAGGTTGAAACTTGAACACATGGTGTCCTCTAATTAGCTGTTATGTAACAAACGTGGGTACCCTCTAGTGTCATATATGAATTCTTCAAGAAGACCTGAAGGATTGGTTTTTACTTTTGTGTTTTTAAAAATATTTACTAAAGAGTCTATGGAGCATGTTTTTTATTCCGTTGGAATCAGTAGGACGTAATGTTTGGCTCAATAGTGTGGATAGTCACAACTGCCCATTAAAACCACCTGCAGCCAGAACCACACAGTTAGGTGTCATCAGTAGTCACCTGTAGGAATCACCCTACGTGGGGCTGAAATGCTAAGACTTTAAAAATGCCCACTTAGGCAGCTGCTCACTTATTTTTCTACTGAGTAACTGAAAATTGAGCATCAGGTTACAATCTACTTTTTAAAAACATGAATGTAAAACAGTAAGTAGAAAACAGTTGGATCCTGGACAGACCAATAAGTGTCAATTGTTAATTCAAGTTTTGGGGAAGAAGCTAGCTCTGGCTCCCGCAATGAAAGCGGGTGGTTCTAATGAATTTACCCTGTGGTAGCACAGGTGGAGCCCAAATCGAAGGTTGAGAAATAGCCCAAGACAGACTATTAGAAGATAACACCTGCAAAGGCACTCTCACAATGGGGCCTCTTCTGTCCCTTTTGGGTTCTAGAGCAGGGTGTGTGCTTGAGAGTGAGAAGCCAGCCGCTTCCTGTTCTCTTAATCTCCGTGTCTGGTCCCACCCTGCCCAGGGTGCACGTCCCGTCTCCTCTGGGTGTTGAGTTCCGGGGCTCCAGCACCTCTCAGCAGTGGGGATTTATGTGTGTAGATGGTGGAAGCCTAAATCCTTTCAGAGCAGACATCCTTTTGTGGGTTTCCCAATTGTCTTCTAAAAGGCAGTACAATCATGTTTGAATGTCTGATGAAAGTATCTTTTAAGTTTGCAATAATTGTTACTACCCTCTTCTCATTCTGTTATGTAAGGTGACTATTGAGAAAGTTGAAATTAGCTCCTAAAATGAGATTTTGAAAGGGATTAATGGGCCATAAAACTTAGGGATTTCATAGAAAATGATGTCTGGTCATCTATTATAAGATGATGAGTCTTATCTGCACATAGCAGAGTTTTTTCCTTAGTTTATATGTTTTATCAATTGTTTATTATGATGATTTTGTTTATATGTTATTTAAAAAGCTGTAAAAGAAATCTTTGTGGCACGTTCATGATGTTGATCCTCATGATTGGTGCACCCTTAGGAAATTCCCATGTCTAAGGTTCTGGGTCGTATTCTTTGGGCTCCTTTAGAAATGCCACTTGGAAACGTGTAACAAACTTGGGCCTGGGAAGCTGAGGCACAGGCGAGACCACCCATGGCAGGGACACAGAGGGGTGAGCAGCAGTAAGGGTGGAACCCGATGGCCTTCCAGATCTCTTCCCACTCAGAAGTCAGTGTGCAGACAGAGGCTGCTGCCTCCTCAGGCCCGATGGAAGGAACGTTTCCACCGGTGAGTGGGAACTGGTGTGAAGGACACGTCAGTGAGGGGCCGTTGCAGCTCACGTCTCTGTCGAAGCTGGGTTCACTGGAGGGTGGCGGCAGAGAAGCCACGTCCACCAAGCCCACTGCAGAGGTGGCAGCAGCTGGGCCAGGGTCTCTTGTGCCGACCCCTGTTCAGAGTTCCCAGTATGGCTGGTTTAGCCGTTTACCTCTCCACCATTTCATCTACTTTGTCATTTTTCTAGTATCTTTTATATTTCCATCTTTTTTCATTTTAACATCACTACCTTTTAAAATATCCCCTTGTCTTTTTAAATGAAATGCCATCCATATTGTTTTCAGAGGTTTTTTTTGTCTTTATGAGCATTACATACCTGCATTTATCAAAAGGGAAACTAGCAAATGTTAAGTCAACTGTTAGCAGTTTTGCATGTGACACCTTTTTGTGAATTATTTTCCCAAATTTAGCTTCATATTACGCACCACCACAAAACTCTTAAGACTTGGCTAATCATGTAGAAAAAATTCAGGTTCGAGCATCCCATCTGAGCACTGCTGCCAGGCTCCCGTGTGACCAGCCTCCCTGGCATCACACGCTTACCCTGCTTGCTGAGCAAGGCACGTTGTCGCGAGCAGTGTGTGGCCAGCAGCTCCTGGGATGGGAAGGACCTTTGAGTTTCCAGTTGCACAAGCAAGGCAGCCTTGCAGGTTACCCTAAAACAGAGGTTCCATCCAGTATTCCTTCTGTGACCCCCCCACTGAACGCAAAACATTTAAACACTGAAAACCTGGGATGTGCTGTGGGTTGTCAGAGCACTTGCAGCACAGTTGCCTTTGGTTTCCTTTAAAACATACAAATATTGTATAAGACAGTTTTGTCCCTATACAGTTGTACTTGCCAAGCTTAGTGCACTAAAGAACTTTTATTTATTTGTTTTGGCCAGTATTACTATATATAAACATGTAGTTGCTGTTTTATAAATTCTTAGCTCATTCAAAGCCATGTATGCTGTAAATGTGCTAGTCTTTAGATGATGAATAATAAACTGACAAGAACATTGCAGCGGGTCTCGCCTGATTCATTCTGTTGCCTTAGGACTGGTTCTCTGGCCAGCATCCACCTGGCGATTATTAATGGGTGTTGCATTGAGTGCTTTGGAGTTTGCAAACATGGGACTGTGAGACACTTGCTTTATGACCATTTTCACTTAACTTCAAGTGAAGGGGTGTCGGGAGGTGGCATTAAGAGCATGGACGTCCACTCCAGACAAACCTAGGTCCCAATCCTGTTCTGTCACTCCTTGGCTGGTGACTCCGAGCAAGTTGCTGGCCCTCTGTGAGGCTCTGCTTCCTCGTGTGGAAAGTATGGGCACAACAGCTCCTTCTTCACAAGGCAGTCGTGAGGTGCCGCGGCATCAAGTTCATAGTGTTAGATGTTGTTACTGGCCCACATCCATTAATATGGGTCACATCTTCTCTGGAGGTGACCTGGTCATCTGCTGTATAACTTGCTAAAATGTTTCATTAATGGTTTGCTATAACCGGGACTACATCTTGCATCTTTTTCTAGGCACATGTGCCCAGTGACTTCCCTTGGATCAATTTCTGACAGTAGAAATGTACAATTAAAGGCTAGCGTGAATGTTCTTAGGTTGTTGAATGTTTCATCCAGGTATACCTAGGAGAGAGTGCGGTTTGGGCTCCGGATCACCACAATAGAGAGACTATCACAATAAAGTGAGTCACACAAATTTTATGGTTTCCCAGTGCACATAAATGTTTACACTATATTGTAGTCCATTAAATGTGCAATACCATTATGTCTAAAAAAAACCAATGTACCTACCTTAATTTAAAATTACTTTATTGCTAAAAAATGCTGACCATCATATGGGCCTTCAGCAAGTCATAATCTTTTTGCTGGTGGAGGGTCTTCCTTTGATTTGTATAAACGCAGCATCTGCGAAGCCCAGTAAAACGAGGTTTGCCTGTATCACTCCCAGAAAGTTAAGCTTCCCGCCTGTAGCACGTGCCTTTTCCCTTTATTCTTACCGATGTTAAAAATGGCACCTTGTCCAAAGTTCCGTGTATTTGATTACTGTGAAAACAGAACATCTTTTATACTTTTGTATTTCTACTTTTGTGACCTCATTGGAGTGGTGGTGTTTTTTATGGGTTGTTTATAATATACAATACTGCATTTTAAGCTGTCATATGTCGCTGTGTTTGAAAACCTATTTGTCAGTTCTTTTGGTTTTGTTTATGGTAAGGGTATAGAGAAGTTTTAAATTTGTATGTAGTCAAATATACTTGTCTTTTCCTTTCTGTTGCATGTTTTAAAAACAAGTCCTGGCTTCACCACTGAAGGGGACAGTCGGAGCACCCATCCCTGTCCATGAAAGGGGCATGGTGCCATGCCTCGGTGAGGGGCTGCACTAGCCTGTGCCCCCCTGGGTAGAACACCCGCCCTGTATCCTGTGCTAAGATCTGGCAACTGGGTAATAACTTTGTCATATTTTCATTACACCTATCACTACCCAAGCTGTGACACAGAATCCTGAGAGTGTAGGATGAGGGTAGTGACGCTGCAAATTCCCCCTTGATTCCTTTGTGCCTCAGCAGTCTCTGCCATGATTCCTTCCTGCACCAGGCTCCTGGTGGGCCTTTTTGGGAGGTGCAGGCAGGTCTGCACACAAATATGGATGTTATGGTGCTGTCACTCTTTGTTGCACCATTTAGGGAGGACAGGAACCTTGCTTGTTTCCACAGTGAGGAAGACATCTTCATCAGCGAGACGGATGTAGAAACGGCACTCACCGCTTCCTGCTCCTCGCACTCGCCCTCCCTGGGCCCTGTGGCCCCACTCTCCCGGTGGCCCTACCTCTTACCATCCTTCCTCACTCTGACTGGCCAGTCACCCTCCACCCACCATGAACATCATGTATTCCCCAAGCTTCTGTCCTTAACTTTCTTCTCATTTCCATGCGTTTCCTGAAGAGCCTTATCTATTCCCATGGAAAAAATTACCAAGTATTTGCTTATGACTCCCAAATTTCTACGACTACCCGAGACTCTCTAGGTCAGACCCATCTACACATCCACCCACACCCTCGGCATTTTACAGGAGTGTCTCCCACACAGCACGCCAACGCCAAACTCCTGCATCCCCTCCTCCAAGCTGGCCGAGTCTTCCTGATAAACGACCCCACCTTCCACCTTGGGGTCATCTTCTCCCTTCCCCAGGTCATCCCAGCAGCCAATAAGTAAGATATGAATCTCTTCAACCCACCCATCATTCCATCCACACACCCGGCCTTCTAACATGCCCATGTTCCCTCTGAGATGGACCACCACCCCTCAGCCTTCTCATTTCTCCTTCAAGGCCACTGTAGGCACACCCTCCTCTGGCGATTTCTGTCCACAGATGAGTGGCCCTTTTAGAAAAATATTTTCCCGTTTGAGCACTAGACCGTGTTGCTTTTCTCTGGTGTAGTGCTATAACCGGTTACAGTAGTAGCCCCCTTATCCAAGGTTTCATTTTCCATGGTTTCGGTTATCCACGATCAACATGTCACTACAAGAAGGGTAAGTCCAGTACCGTAAGATATTCTGAGGGACACCACATGCACATAAACTTTTATTACAGTATATTGTTATAATCCTCCGTTTAGTTACTGTTTATCTCTTACCCTGCCTAATTTATAAATTAAACTTTATCACAGGTAGGTATGTATAGAAAAAAACATAGTATATACAGGATTCAGTACTGTCCATGGTTTAAGGCACCCATCAGGGGTCTTGGAACATTACCCCCCACGGATGAGGGGGGACTGCTGTATTCTAACACATCACAAGGAGCCAAATGCAACAAGCTCAAGGAAGAAGGAAAACTTAAGAGCAGAGTGTGGCAAACACCAGAACAGTGGTTTTCTCTCGGGGTTGAGCAGAAGGACCTCTGAGGAAAGTCAGGCATTACAGGGGTTCGTTCAGTGTTCTTTCTACCTGGATGGTAGTAACATGGAGATTTATAGTTATTAGTTAACATTATATAAACATCCTGTGTATTTTTCTGTACATCTACTATACAGTGGTACCTCGGTTTTCTAATGTAATCTGTTCTCCAAGACCGTTTGAGTTCTGAAACGTTCAAAAACGAAGGGATCTACAGCCAACAGTTAGGCCTCAGGATCTTGCACTCAGCGGAAGCCGTGTGGCATGTTCGACTTCCGAGGCGTGTTTGAAAACCAAAGCATTTACTTACGGTGTTTGTAAACTGAAATGTTCGTCCATGGAGAAGTTTGAAAACCGAGGTACCACTATTTCCCAATAAAATTATAAAAAGTTAACCCATCATCCAAACAACCTAAAAAGAAAATTAAAACAATTCCATTTGCAATCACATAAAAAAGTGATACACTTAGGAATAAACCTAGCCAAGGAACCCAACATCTTGTGTACTAAAAATGACAAAATGTTGCTAAAAGAAATTAAAGAAAACACCAATAGATGGGAAGACCTCTCATGTAAATGGATTAGAAGACTTCATATTGTAAAGATGCCAATACTCTCCAAAGTGATCTACAGATTCAATGTAATCCCTATCAAATGCCAGTGGTGTTTTCTGCAGAAATAGAAAAATCCATCCTAAAATTCATATGGAATCTCAAGGGACTCTGAATAGCAAAAACAATCTTGAAAAATAACAAGTTGGAGGTGTTACACTCCTGATTTCAAAACTTATTACAAAACTTATTCAAAACAGTGTGGCAATAGCATAAAGACAGACAGACATACAGACCAACAAAACAGAAGAGATAACCCAGAAATAAACCCAGGCATATACAGACATACGATCTTTGACAGAGGTGCTAAGACAATTTAAAGAGGAAAGGACAGTCTTTTCAACAAATGATGGTGGGAAGACTGGGTATCACATGCAAAAGGATGAAATTAGACCTTACCTTACACCCTATGTATACAAAAATCAACTCAAAACTAGATCAAAGTCCTAAACACAAGAACTAAAATTATACAACTAGAATAAAATGTAAGGGAGGAGCTTCACTGGATTGGGCAATGATCTCTCGGATATGACACCAAAGGCACAGTCAACAAAAGTAAAAACAGATAAACTGCACTATATCGAAATTTAAAACTGTTTCAAAGAACACAACAGTGAAAAGAAATGGGAGAAAATATATGCAAATCATATATCTGGTAAAGGGTTAATATCTAGAACAAAGAACTCCTAGAATTCAACAACAAAAGAGCAAACAACCCTATTTTAAAAAGGGCAAAAAGCTTGAATAGAAATTTCTCCAAAGATTTAAAAATAACCAACAAAAACATGAAAGGATGCCCACCATCAGTAGATAGATGGTGGCTGCCAGGGGGTGAGGGACAGGGTGATGGGGAGTTGTTTAATGGGTATAAGGTTTCAGTTCTGTAAGATGAAAAAAATTCTGCAGATTGGTTGCATAACAAGGTGAATGTACTTAACACTACTCAACTATATACTTAAAAATGGTTAAGATGATAAATTTTACATTATATTTTACCACAAATACATAGTTAATAATACAAGTATCAGAAATTATTTTTTAAATGGATTATAGAGCTATACATAAGCTAAAACTATAGAACTCATAGATGAAAACATAGGAATAAATTTCCATAAGCTTGGACTAGGCAGTGGTTTTCTTAGATACACCGAGAGAAAAACAGATAAATTGAAATTCATCAAAATTAAAAATGTGCTTCAAAACAAAGCTTCCAGAAAGTGAAGAAAAAAACCACAAATAGGGAAAAAACATTTACCATTCATTTGTTTTTAAGGAACTTGTACATACAATATATAAAGAACTCTTAAAACTCAATAATAAAAAGAGAACTTAATTGAAAAATGAACATTTCTTCAAAGATATACAAGTGGCCAATAAGCACATGAAAACATGCTCAACATCATTAACCATTAGGGAAATGCCAATCAAAATCTCAGCTAGATACTACTTCAAACCTAATAGAATGTTTATAATCAAACAGGTGAAAAATAACAACTATTGGTGATGTGGAGATCCTTATACTTTGCTGGTGTAGCCACTATGGAGAAGTTTGACAGTTCACCAAAATATTAAGAGTTACATCACCCAGTAATACCACCCTTAGGTATACAGTGAGTCCTCACGTAACATCATTGACTGGTTCTGGACTTTAAGCAAAATGACATACATTGAAACCAGTTTTACCATAAGCTAACTAATATAAACAAGAGTTAAGTTTCTACAGCATCTCATCACTGCTATAATAAAACAATATGGAACAAACACATTATTCTAGGGCCTGCTATATACCCTGAATAAATGAAACCTGTTCATGAATGTTCATAATCTTAGTCATAATAGCCCAAAAGTTCAAACCCAAAGTCCATCAACTCATGAATGGCTAAGTTAAATGTGGTATATCTATACTATGGAATATTATTCTGCAGTGAAAAGAAGTACACACAGATGCTACATATGGATGAGCCTTGAAAACACTGAAGTGAAAGAAGCCAGTCACAAAAGGCCACAAATAATTCCATATGGGCAAATCTATAGACACAGTGTGTATCAGTGGTTATTGGAGCTAGGGGAAAAGTGGGGAAGGGGAGTGACTGCCCATGGGTATGGGGTTTCTCTTTGGGGAGATGAAAATGTTCTGGAGTTAGTGGGTAATGGTTGCACAGCTCTGTGACTAAAAAGTAAAAAAAAAAATAAAAAACTGAATTATATACACTTCAAGGGTAAATTTTTTCAGTTCATTTTTTTTAAGAGGGAGAGAAATATCGATGTGTGAACACATATCAGCTGCCTCCTGCATGCCCCCTACCGGGGATCAAGCCAACAACCCTGGGTATGTGCCCTGACCAGGAATTGAACCAGCAACCTTTCAACCTTTTGGTGCACGGGATGACACCCAACCAAGCCATACATTTTATAGCATGTGAATTTCTCCAAACGAAGCTCTCAATAGAGCTGTTACATAATTTTATCAAAGTTCCTTTTAATAAAAGGTGTAGCACTTAAAATAGTTATACAAGAATTATTGGAAAAATCCATCATTTTCCCTTTCTCAGTGACTAGTAGTACACGCAGTAGACCTCCGGGATTCTGCAACAAGGACTAGTGCTGGTGTGGAATTCTCACAACTTTAGGTGAACATTTAAGAAAGAAACAAGCTACAGAATACCTTAACTGCTTTAACTTTGATGAACCGTGGATGTTATGAAGAAGCTGTGGTTCTTCAATCTTCAAAACTGAAAATAAAGTTGAAAACTTTATTATATAGTACAGCTCTGTACTGTATTAAGCGATCAGAATAAAATCACTGTGGTTGTAAACTTTTTCAAGCATTTCATGTTTCCACTCTTGCTTTCCATAGTGAACACATCTCTTTTCAGTTTGTGCAGAATCCTCCTTTCCTTTTGGGATGAGGCCCATCACTCACCCAGTGTGATTTTCATGGGAATTATGAGACCCAGGTCTGGCTGAGATCACGGCCCTATTCCTTTTTCCACAGGGTCTGGTCTAATTCAAGGGCAGGTGATCCAGGGAAGACAATAGTCCTTTTGTAGAATTTGACTAGTGGCCACGAAAAATGGAGGTTATCTCTCTTCTTTTTGGATCGTGTGCTTTTGGCTGACACTAGCCTCCTTCCCATTATGTAGAGAGGGCCAGACTGAAAATGAAGTCGGGAAACAAAAACAGTCCAGCAAGAAAAGCAAAGAGCTCCGGCTACAGAATTGGGGGCTTTGTATCCACCATGATGTATGATATTAAAGTTGTGAGGCTGTTAACTCAATGAATCAATACAAATGAAGCATTTCTTCTCCAAGAAATCAAACACAATTTATTTTAGAACAAATAGGACGAATTGAATAAAAGACAGTTTTATCCTAAACTTTCCTGATAGACATTTTCTCCCCAGGCTCCATGTTACCGATTTTAACAGTCCCATCAGTGGCCTTCAGAATATTCACCAAGGATGTACAAAATGTGTCATTTAGTTGAGGAGTCATGTTTGAAAATAACAATCTTTGTGCTTTAGAACAATTCTTAAAACACATTTATTATTCTCCCTGCTCACAACTGGTCAATTAAATTTTTCTTCTAAAAATAACTTAGAACAAGAAAATCATTTACTTTATACATATTCAAAAACAGAACTCATCCATTCTCTCCAGGGTTCCATGGTCTGACCAAACTTCTATTTTGGTTTCTGTGTTTTAATGACCAGAAGAAATCTGCTGCTGTATTCATCTTGGTTTCAACAGAATACTCATCAATATCCTTTTCTTCCTCTGAATCGTGATCTGGCATCCAACTGAAAATAAATGTAAAATAAAATCATATTTTGTACAACATAATTAAATACAACTTTGCGAAGGGGTGTCACTACAGGAGAGAAGTAAACCAGTTTCCAGCACAATCAAAAAGGCAATTGTCGAGGCTCTTTCTATGGAGCTGCCTGTGCCTCTCCCCACCCCCTCCCCCTAGGCATTTTCCTTGCCTCTCTCTTTCTCCTAAGCTCCAAGGGCCCTTCTGTTGCCTCTGTAACTCCTTTTCTGAGCCCATTCCTTCTGTGGCTCACTTCTTCTACCTCTGTGACTTTGACTTTCTAAATAAACTTTCTCTTATAGTTTGAGTCTTGCCTCTGAATTCTTTCTTAGCCAGAACTCAAGTACCAGAGGTTGCTGAACCCAGGTCTGGTTTGACTCCACTGGTCTAACATCTGGTGCCACTTCTGGTCAACAATACAATGGATTCATTTTAAATGTACAATTCAAAAGTTTTTAGCATACTCACCATCATCACAATCACTCCCCATTCTTTCCTAATCCCTCTTCCCCCTGTCACCAGCACTAGCAACCATTAATCTACTTTCTGTTTCTATAGATTTGTCTATTCTGGACGTTTAATATACATGCACATATGCAAAAAAGGCTGAAAAATAAGTGAGTTAAGTGCTCATCTTACACTGTTAGAAAAAGAACAAATTAAACCTAAAGATTGAAGGAGAAACAGAAAACAAATAATAAATTTTTTTTTTAAAAGGCAATTGTCAGACCAACCATTAAACCCCACAAAGAACCCAAAATATTAAAGATGGAAGGTATTAAAAAGACGTTCCATTTAAGGTCACAGGATTTTCTTCTCAAGTAGAATACAAATGACATTTATCTTTTCCTCTGAACTACATGAAATATATGTTGTTCTAGCAAACAACTTTCCAATTAAGTTTTGTTTGGGTTCATATTCAAATGTATTTGAAATCTTTAAATAGCAACAGAAAAAGGAAGAAAGAACCCTGAAAAATGGTAACTCATAACCATTTGGGGATTAAATATCCTTAAATTACCTTCTCATAGGATGACAGGATTAAGCCTCACAGTACAGCCTTTTTAAGGGGGAGGATACAAGTCAGTATGGAAGGCAGATTTGCACAGGTTGTCAGTATCACTCCCTAGAAATTCTATAGGAACGAATTATTTTACTGCCAGACCCTATTAATGAGTCCAACATAGCCAATGTGGGACAGACAACCATTTCTTCATCTGGTCACTACAGGAAGCTAAGAGCCACATTTTAAAATAATAATATTTAAACATGGGCGTCATAATCAGGATGCTGTGTACTATGAGAGAAAGATAAATCAAACTTCCCATCTAACCTTTGTTCTGAGTTCTATACTCACTGAAATATTAAATAAAATTACAGCACAATTTAAATTGTTTCAGGTTTTTGCCAAGCATGTATGACTGAAGTTGCATTAGTTAAGTGTGACATTAGTCCTTTCTTGGAGGACTAACAGTGAATCACTATTTGATACTATATTTGCCGAGACTTCCATTTTCACACCTTCAGAAACTCATGAAGGTCAGCAGCTGTGGTTAGCATAGTGGCAGAACAACAGGAATACTACCTAACATTAACTCACGGGAGTTCTGAATAGTGTCACTGCAACCTACTAAGATAAGTCACTCCCATATTTAACTCCACATAGGTCATTTTTAGCGTAAGCTTTTAAAAATCTTTTCTTACCATTGATCTTTTACATTCAAAAAATGAGTATTTCAAAGCCTTGCAGTTTCCTTCCTTCAGACATTGCCGAGGGGATTTTCCTTCCTATGACAAATAAAACAATATAAATACTGGGAAATTTTCTCACAAGCTACAAAATAACAGCCCTTCTGAAATAGTTTTTTTTTTTTTAAAAGCAAAAGAAAACGGTGAATTATGTAAGAAATAGTTCATAATTCATTTTGGTTGTTGGTGCTTCAAGCAGTAAAGGACAGAAGGATAATTTTCTTTAACGTGTTTATATAAAAATTTTAGAAACTGTATCTCCAGCTTATCAGTAAGAAAGGGAAAAAGTAAAGGTGACAGCAGTAATGGTTTCTTCAGTGTACTTAAAACATTTACACTCAAGAACGAAAGACAGAAGGTAGCGTGTACCACAGAGAGCGCGCACATACACATGCATGTGAGATCAGGCATGTGGTGAATGGGAGTGCTTGTTCTGGAAGGTAGTATCAAGTGGCTTTGCAGTCTCCACTTACATCTCTTTGATGCAAGCAATTTTCCCACCTCCTGCCCTCCACAGTCAAATTCTCTGTTCTGAGAAGCTCAACTGAGTGAAAACGAAGAGGAAAGGAAGGTATGAGCAGAATTGATGCATATTTGTGAGAGAACATCTGCCTAAACCTGATGTGAAATTAACTCATCATTAAGCCAGTGAAAGCTCAAAAGGAGGCGGCGAAGAAAACGGGATTAAACCATCATTCTCTTTTTGCCTTCAAGGCAGGATGCTGTTACAAGCATGTTCACAGGAGAAATGCTTGCTTCTGACTCTTAATAAATAAGACCTTTTTTCAAGCTATAACTATTAAAAATCTGACTTGACATAGTAACAACTGCAAAACTAGGTAAGTAGTATTTTTCTTTTAAGGTAAACATGGAATAAAAATCCTACCGCTACATTATCTTAAAATATTTTATTTTTATTTTGTTTTATTATTTTTAAAAAATATATCTTTATTGATTTCAGAGAGAGGAGAGGGAGAGAGATAGAAACATCAATGATAAGAGAGTCACTGATCGAGCCCGCAACCCGGGCATGTGCCCTGACCGGGAATCCAACCCCGATCGCCTGGATCCTAGGTCAACGCTCAACTGCTGAGCCATGCCTGGCTGAGTTATCTTAAAAGATTTTAAACAAATCTGTAAATTTAACTTAACACAAAGGCACTGAACTATATTGGACACATGGATGCATCTACAGAAGGTATATTTCACAATTCAAAAAGGCAAGATTAAAATTTAATTGCAGCAAAATTTCTTTTTTGAACGCCCTACCCTATTTTGTCTAGTAACTGAGCCCTCACAAGAACTAATTTAGTAAAGAAAAAAAATCAGAACAGCCCTAGATCAGTTTCGTCGGAAGTTAAAAAATGAATGCTAAGTATTCCTGCCTACACAGGGCCTTTAATACCAGGAAGAAAAGAAGGTATACACACGCAAAGGCTAACCAGCAGCGTGAGCACATCACAAAGTGGGGAAGTGCCTGCCAGAGGGTAACGGAAAGGAGCTAAAGGGGTTCAGTTTCCCGGGAATATAAATATATGAAACAGCATCTGGAAAAAGTAGACTGAACTTGAATTTTTAGAACTGCATGAGGTTTAATGACATCAAACTGATTTGCAATTCATGAGAAAAAAAAATAAAAACTTTACATTATTTTACTATTACATTAGTAAAAGTAGAACATATAGTGCTTATAAACATCAGCCTTATGCAGTGCTCGACAGTATAAAGGAAGATCGTGGTATCTTCCTGCTCAAGGTGAGTTCTAATGTAGAATGAGTCGAGCTATTGTGAGGATAAAAATGACTGGTCAGTGGTACTTTAAAAGCTCAAACAGCCAGAATTAAGATGCTCTAAAATCAGAACATTTTTAGTGTTAGTACAAAACACTTCAGATAGATATTAATAAGGTAAGATGGAGTACTACTTAAATAGAAACATCTGGTGCGTTCATGCACCAGGAAAAATTAACCCAAATTTCACCTGCTCTGCATCACCAGAGACTTCCCCTCAAACAGATTTTGACATCTCAATGCCACCACTGCAACCACTTCCCCAAACCACCAGAAGGTAGACTATTGTCCTGGATTTGCCTCAGTACTGCCTTTTTACACTCCAGCTGAAGTGACCATTCAAGGTGAATTTACCACAAACTACATGTGCTTCCCTTTAAGGGGCTGTTTATAAACATCAGGTTCTCAGTGACCAAATTCAGCAGCAATAAGGCCAATATCAACAGGGGAAATACAAAGTTTGTGCCACATGTCCTGGTCATTATCTGCTTTCTAACTTCCCAGAGATGCAGTTTCTACAGAGGAGAGAATGTGTCCCATTCATCTGTATGTCCCCTGAATTAGAGCTTGGCACTCAAATGCTTGCTAAATAAACGATTCAATCATTGCAAAAAAAACCAACTCAGTTTTCTCCTTGCCACCAGTGTATCCCTCCACTTCCTGAGTTTCCTTCCTCAGTCCTACTCTATGTACTTTATTCCCCCTGATTGCTCATATCCTTGGCCTTGAAGCTGAAGGTCAGGATAAAATCCAAGTTCCTTACTGACACACACGGGCCTTCACACACTGCAAGCTTCCTCTCAAGCCTTCTGTCACCGTCCCCATCCTTCAGGCACAGCAGGCCGGAGCTTCTCCTGGCCTCCCTCACCTCCCCGACTACACAGGCTGTTCTTCCAAGTTCTCCCCGTAACCACTACAGTCCCCACTCCTTTACTTAGCAAACTACTACTCAACCTTTAAGACTCAGATCAAATGTCACCACCTCTGTGACAAATTTCCAGATTCTCTAGTAAAATAAGGTGCTCTCCACTGGGCTCCCAAAGCATTTTGCTTCTAAATCTACTCATTAAATAACAGCTTACTAAATGCTTACACAGCCTTTATCGCAGGAATTTAGCCCCTTACATGTCTGTTCTTCCTTTCAGAACAAGCTTGTGTAGGTAATGACGGATTCCTCTTTTGTGTCCCCAGTGCCTGGCACCATGCCTGCCACTGAACAGGCATTTACTAGGAGCTGGCAGAATATATATTTGCACCAATGAAGCAGCCGACTGGAAACAGCCCTGGACAGGGGGCCTGAGGACAGGGGACCTCAGTTTCCTCACCTGTACAAGAAAGCTGGACTAGATAACCTCAAATTCATAACTCAGAAGTTTTATAGACACAGGGAAGCCAGTCTGGCTGACTGCTAAAATTAGTGAACCAAATATAAATCATTTATCAGTAGAAACACTGATATAGCTTTATGGTTATGTCCATTTTGGCACAGTTATCTTTTCTTTGAAATAATGGCAACTTTCTGAAATTCTATCTCCAATTGCACACAACGGATTACCCTCTGTCACTGGAAAAGGCACCCAAAACCTAGCACAGTGGCAGCATTCAACAAATGTTTCTTTAACCGATACGGTTTAATCTTCACAAAAACCCAATGGGGCGGTATCGTTATCTCCAATAAAAGCGGAGGGAACCGAGGCTCCGACAGCGGATACGTCCAAGTTTACTAAATCGGAGCTGTAATCTGTACCCAGCACCAACAACTGAGTCACGTGTGCTGACCGCCGCCCTAAGCGGCCGCCGCCGCCGACGCGCCCCGCCGGCCGCGCTACCTGGAGCACACAGTCCGACTGCAGCAGACACGCGCCCAGGTCCTCCTTCACGCCCGCGCACGCGCCGCCCTCCGGCTTGTCCTCGTAGTACCGAGGCATGGCCGCCCGTCCCGCGCGCCTAGGCCCGCGCCTCAGCCAGCACCGCTCCCGTCCGCAACCGCCGCCACCTGGCTGCGTGTGAGCCACGCCCCCTACACAGGGAACCGGAAGCCGGCAGCGGCGACTTCCGGCGAGCTCGCCGGGGCTACGAGTCCCGAGAGGCCGCGCGCGGCGGAAGTAGGAGCTGTCTACGTTTCGGGAAGGGAAATTGGTCCGGCGGCTGTAAGCTCGGCTGCCTGGCCGAGGTGGCTGGCTCGTGTGCAGCCGGTGGAGGCCGCCGCGGGGCTCCCGGTGAGTCCT